TGGTCTAAACATCAACAACCAACATCAATAACACCATTTTGAAACCCAAAATCATAAAAGACTCTTTAACACATTTTGAAACCCTAAGTTCCAAAATCACCCAACTACAACACTTTATCAAAACTACCAAGAATCTATGTCAAAGACCATAAGAGTGAGTAGGAATCCCTACCTCAAATTCGGAGCCCAAGGAAAGAAGGTGAGGAAACTCGACGTGCTCCAAAACTCAATATTTTCGGATCAATGGATAGCCCTCGACGATCAACCCAACTCTTGTGAAGACCAAAGGTGGGGAAAATACTCTAGCTAGATCAATACTTAGAGAGAAGGCAAGGGTTTAGAGAGAGAGGCTCTCAAATGACTTTTTCAGAAAAGTAAGAGAGAGAAAGGATGAGAAAAAGTGATTTAAAACTGCCCCACAGTCAACTGATATACGACATTCCCGCTCGAGCGGAAAACACAACGCTCGAGCGTCAAGAACAAAAACTAGGTCCGCTCGAGCGCAAAAGGACCCGCTCGAGCGCCAAGACACAAGAATAAAGTAAACCCACTCGAGCGCGAAAACCAGTCCGCTCGAGCGTAGATTTCCTCCTCCCAGAACTTACACCCAGAGGTACTACCCGCTCGAGCGCCACCGCTCGAGCGCAAAGAATCCTGCTCGAGCGTAAAAATCACACCTGCAGAAGTTTTGCAGGGACATGGAATACTGGGGGTGTGCAATCCCCGCTCGAGCGCAAGAAGACCCGCTCAAGCGGACCTCCTAAAAACTGGGTAACAAGGAATTGAAACCAAGGCCCAACCAACCTGTAACAACCCTGCCCAAAACATCCTAAAACTCAATCAAGCGGAATTAAAGGACGACAACAAGATAGATACAACTACCATCATCACGGAATCGAGTCCGGAACACAACAGAACCGTAAAAGGACAACCGGGATCGTTATAGTGTTCATTGTTTGGCGGATAAACAATATAGAGTTTCTTTTCAAAAAAATGTTGCTTTTAAAAAGGAAAATGTTTTGGAGTTGATCTATTTGAATGTTTGTGGTCCTTTAAAAGTTAGAACACATAGTGGTGCACTTTATTTCGTTACTTTCATTGATGATTATTTAAGAAAAGTTTGGGCTTTTTTACTAAAAACTAAAGATCAAGTTCTAGAAGTATTTAAGCATTTTCAGGCCATGGTTGAAAGAGAAACTGGGCAGAAATTGAAGTGCATCCGATCAGACAATGGTTGTGAATACATTGGGCCATTTGATGAGTATTGTCGCAGTCAAGGTATTCAGCACCAAAAGACAGTTAAGAAGACTCCTCAACAAAATGGCATTGCCGAGAGGATGAACCGCACCATTGTGGAAAGAACAAGGTGTTTGCTTTCACAAGCTAAATTGCCAAGATCCCTTTGGGGTGAGGCAATGAAGACAGCAGTTGACGTGATCAATTTGTCTCCTTCATATCTTTTGAATGGTGATGTTCCTGAAAGAGTTTGGACCGATAAAGATATGTCTTATGAGCACTTGAGAGTGTTTGGTTGCCCAGCTTTTGTTCACATTCCAAAGGATGATAGGTCCAAGCTTGATAGTAAGTCAAGACAATGCATTTTTCTTGGCTATGGGCGTGATGAATTCGGGTATAGATTGTGGGATCCGGTCGACAAGAAAGTCATTCAAAGCCGTGATGTTATGTTTCTTGAAGACCAAACAATTGAAGACTTTGGCAAAGGTGATCAACCGGAGCCCTCCCAAACAACATCCGGTTTAGAGGTCCATCCCCTATCTTCCCCTAAACCGTGGAGTACATCCCCTATCTCCTCCAAATACCTATCCGGTTTAGAGGATGGTGTTAATCCTAATGAAGTTGAGCCAGAAATTGGAGGAAGAGCATCCAACTCAAGAACAGCCACCACAACTTGAGTTGAGGAAATCTACAAGGGACTGACAACCTTCAAGAAAGTTCCTCCCAATGAATTGTGTTGATTTCCGATGAAGGGGAGCCTGAGAGCTACCAGAAGCAATTGAGCATACAAAGAAAGATGATTAGAAAAGGCAATGGAAGAGGAGATGAATTCCTTACTTGAAAATCACACTTATGATTAGTGAAGTTTCCTAAGGGGAGGAAAATTCTGAAAAATAAGTGGGTTTTTCAAATTGAAAATGATAGCAAGAATCTGAGGTACAAAGCACGTCTTGTTTTGTGAAAGGTTTTGGCAAAAGAAAGGCATGTGACTTTGATGAGATTTTCTCGCCGGTTTGAAGATGTCTTCTATCTTGGGTTGTACTTGGCATGGTTACAGTATGAACCTTGAAGTTGAGCAACTTGATGTGAAGACCGCATTTCTTCATGGTGATCTTGAAGAAGAAATTTACATGGAGCAACCGGAAGGTTTTGTGGAAAAAGGGAAGAGAAATTTGTTTGCAAATTGAAGAAAAAGTTTGTATGGTCTCAAGCAAGCCCAGCGGCAATGGTACAAAAATTTGACTCTTTCATGATGAATAATGGTTTTTCTAAAACACTTCGGACCATTGTGTGTTTGTGAAAAATTTCTCGGATGGTAAATCATTATTTTTTTGATTTATGTTGATGACATGTTAATTGTGGGTCAAGATTCTACCATGATAAAACAAGTTGAAGTTAGAGTTGAGTAAAATCTTTTGCTATGAAAGATTTGGGACCGGCAAAGTAAATACTTGGTATGAAAATTGTTCTGTGATCGCAAAGAGGGCTGATTTTGGTTGTCTCAAGAAAGCTACATTGGGAAAGTTCTTGAGAGGTTCAACAATGAATTAGTACCGATTGGTTGTCCACTTGCAGGTCACTTCAAGCTTAGTTCGAATCAATGTCCTACAAGTGAGAAAGACAAAGAAAAGAGTGTTGAAAGTTCCCTTATGCTTCAGCAGTTGGTTCTTTGATGTACGCATGGTTTGTACAAGGTTGGATTATTGCTCACGGCCGTTGGTGTGGTGAGTCGGTTTCTCTCTAATCCGGGTAAAGAACATTGGGCAGCGATAAATGGATTCTAGGTATCTTCGAGGGACTTCGAAGGTATGTTTGTGCTTTGGGGATGGTAAGCCGATGCTTGATGGTTTCACAAATTCTGACATGGCCGGTGATATTGATTCAAGGAAATCATACTTTGGAGTATTTGATGACTTTGCAGGGGGAGCTATGGTATGTAGTCTAAATTACAAAAATGTGTTGCTCTCTCAACTACCGAAGCTGAATTTATTGCTATTAGAGAAGCTTTCAAAGAAGAGTTATGGTTGAAGAAATTTTTGCAAGAGTTGGGTTTAAAGCAAGAAAAGTATGTGCTTTATTGTGATAGTCAAAGTGCTATTCACTTGAGTAAAAATTCTACTTTTCATTCGAGATCAAAACACATTGATGTGAAATACCACTGGATTCGTGATGTGTTAGATTCGAAGTTGTTGCAACTTGAAAAGGTTCACACAGATAATAATATTTCGGATATGTTGACAAAGACTTTGTCGAGGGACAAACATTTGAAGTGTCGAACTTTGGCGGGTATGGTTGATATCTCCACCTAAGTCGGTAAGGGGAGAATTGTTGGGTATACCTCCTTATTGGAGTGTGGGACCCAATTGGTTTGTTAAAAGAATTTTAATTAGGCTTGGTTTATATATATTATATTTGTGGAGACCCAATTCAATTTGGATACAATTAGGGTTTTGATAAAACAAACCCCAGATTTGACAATATATATGTATAGCTTTGTTTTTCCTGAAGTATAATGCATAGTGGCTGCCTTAATTAATTTGTTGTTCCCCGAAGTGGAGTGTGAAACGGCAGGAGCTAATTGATCATCTTTTAGGTAGATTGGTGCTTTGTTTTGTTGCTGGAGTTCTTGGGAAAAAAGGCTACGGCAGCTTTATATTTTGTTCTTCTTCGGCTGGTGTTTGGTGGCATTAATTTGGATTATTATTTTGGGTCTTCTACAAATTTATTTCGGAAGATTTTTGTTCATCTATTTGGTGAGCTCTTTCCTCTTTGTTTATTTGTGATTATTTAAAATTCACCTAAGGGTGGTTTGTGAGACCATTCGTGTCTCGTTTGTAATAGTTTAGAAACTTATTTGGTTGATAGTGGAATCGGATTTCGATCCCGTGGACGTACCTTACATTGAGGGAACCACGTAAAAATTCTTGTGTTACTTTTGATTTAATTTTTTCGCATTAATTTTTATTCCCATTGATTGATTTACTTGTGGGGAATTACATATTTTCCCTAACAGACTCTGGACTTTGAGAGTCTTGACTGAGTCATTTTGTAAGTTTATTTTCTATTCACTTATCATTGCTGTTCAAGAACTTCCAAGACAATTCAAGCAAGTACTTGGTGGCTGGCTTGCATAGTGAACAATTCTCTCAAGGGCACTTTTCAATTTCCACATAACAAAGCAATATTGGAAATTCAATGAATCCAAAATGCAGTCTCAAATTTTTACCTATAATTTGTTTGTGATAGAGATTGAATAGGTGTAACGTAGGGTCTATCTATAGAATGAATATGAGCCATGGATTGATATTTCTAAGTAAATTTTCGGATAAAATTTGTAAGTAACATTGCTCAAACAATATAGCTCTTCATGGATTGTATATTTGGACTAGGCCTATGAATGAGCTGGATTTGAATTAGATGTAGCAAGATCCAAATCCAAATCTGATGTGACTAAGGTATAGTTTGAATCCTATATGAATTATCCACCATCATATCTGACATCAACTAATTTCAGATATTCGATTGGTTAATGGCATCGACATCTGCTAATTTCGGATATCCTTTTACTATACTAAAAAAAAACATTGCATACCAAATTTCGGAGAATTTTGAGGAGCTTCTCATCAATGAAGCCATGTCTTGGTACAACAGCAACAAAAACAAAAACAAAAGCATGAAAATGGAAACAAAAGCATGTCAGGCATCATATTGATATTTAACAAATGAGCCACTTCAACTGCCATGCCAATGATGAAACAACAAAATTAAAAACACGGACAACAACTATCGAAGACCCAATCTATCACCTTATCTATGAATTGGAAGAAAGCATGTCTCCATGAACTTTTCACAACCAAACTGCCACAAACAGCCCAAAATCCCACAGCAAATCCTACTCCAATGCTAATGTAGAACCATAGCCTATCAAACTCCTCTTCATCATTCATTTTAGCGTCTTTGTCTTCTACATCACCCTGATTTGGGGTTGGGCATTTGGTCGTCAATGGTGACCCGCAAAGTTTGAGATTTTCAACGTAAATTGATGGATCAGCGAAGGTTTGGAACTGGTTGGTCGAGGGAATTGGTCCAGACAAGTTGTTATGCGATAGGTTCAAATAGTCCAGTGCAGTTATGGAAGCCATGCTTGGAGGAATTGGACCTGAAAGATGGTTCCATGAAAGGTCAAGAGCTTCTAATTGTTGTAACCTTCCAATATTCTCCGGTATCTTCCCTGTCAATTCATTCCTCGATAAATTTAAGGCCCCTAGGGACGAAAGATTTGTTAATTCATCCGGGATCTCTCCCCATAGTTTGTTGCTCGAAAAGTCAATAATATTTACAATGCTAAGAATATTGATAATTTTCATATTTCGTCCCTTCACAACCAATTCCATTTGGTTCGCGTGCGTCGCTCTTGCAGAAGGTGGTAGTCGGTCATAAGGCGTGAAAGTACTCAAACGAATCAAATTGCCTAGACATGGTGGGAGGGGTCCTGATAAATTATTATGAGCGAGGTCCAAGATATGGAGGTAAGGAAGATGACAGAGTTGTTTTGGAATGTTTCCACTGAACATGTTGCCGCGTATGCGTAGCTCAAGCAGCGATGAATGGCTTTCTCCAATGGAATTTGGTATTTCCCCGGAAAATTTGTTGTCTCCAATGTCCAATGTTTGCAAGCTTGTGCAGCTCACCAAGGAGGAAAAGATTTTTCCATGGAGACGGTTGGTGCTCAATTTTAAGCTGTAAAGATATGGCAATGAACATATTGAGCTTGGAAATTTGCCAACTAGATTGTTGTTCGATAGATCTATGACGCCAATTTGTTGCATATTGATCCAATTTCTAGGAATTTCCCCAGAAAAAAGATTGTTTGATAGATCAATAGATTCCAAGTTCTTCATTTCAACAATGGATGGTGAGATGTTACCACTAAGAAAGTTCTCAAAAAGATCAAGAACTCTCAAGTGTGGCATCACAGTGTTGATTTTTTCGGGGATTGGTCCTGAAAGTGAATTGTTCCCCAAATGAAGAATTGACAAATTATGCCAAAGCGGGAATTGGCCCGTTAACCGGCTGAAACTCAAATCCACCAAAGCAAATGCTCGAAATTGCAATGTGTTGGGAAGTAAACCATTGACTTGATTATGAGAAAGATCAAGCCAATCAAGCTGTGGAGACAATTTCCAAAGCCAATCAGGCATTGTGTCTAAAATCGAAACATTTGTGAGGCTTATGAAAGAAAGCTCTCTCTGAGTTCTTAGCCATAATGGGAACTTGGGACCCAATGAACAGTCACTGATAATAATGGATTTTAGGCTAAAAAGAGGAATCCAATTATCATGTTTGACATCGAAAACAAAAGTTTTAAATGAAGATGAGACAGAGAAATCTTCTAGTTTCTTTAAACCCTCTAAAAGATGTTGTGATAAAGCCCCTTCCCAAGAATTTTCGTAAAGTCGAAGGTGAGTTAGTTCCATGAGTTTCCCCAAACTTTTCGGGATAGATCCATTCATTTTATTGTAAGAGAGGTCCAATTCCTTTAGGACAGACAAGTTTTCAACAGTTTTAGGAACCGGTCCTGAGATTAAGTTCCCTTTAAGGACAAGGGACCTTAAATGCTTAAGGCGCCCAAGTGAATTAGGCAGTTGCCCACTTAATTCATTGTACCGCAACCTAAGTTCCTTTAGACTACTATTGCTGCATCTGGACAATCCCTCTATGAGATCACTTACCTCACCGCTAATTTTATTGACAGACAGATCCAAAATTTGCAAGTTGCAATGGTTGCCAAACTTGAAATGGCCTATTGGGACTTCAAAAAAATTTGCACTAAGATCAATGTTCACAAGGGTGCTGATATTAAACAACCACTGAGGCAATGTGGAGTTGAATTTGTTGAAGGAGAGATCGAGGACTAAAAGGGAAGTGAGATTCAAATTTGGTACAGAGGGAGGAAATTTGTGAAGTTCAGAATCAGCCAAATGCAACTCGGATAGAGAAGGAATTGTGTTAACAGCTTGCAACCAAGTAGTTGCTTCACTAAGGTTCACACCCTCTAGATTGAGATACTTCAAAGAAGTGAGACCAGAGAGCCAGCTCAGCTCTGAAGCCCAGTTGCTACCGGGATTTAAGTATGTAGAGAGATCAAGATAATGCAAGTTTGACAAGTTTCCAAGATGGGGTGGTACCATTCCACTAAAAGATGCTTGAGAAAGATTGAGGTAATTTAGTTTCTCAAGAGAGCCTAAAAATGTTGGGATTGGAATTTCGCGAAAATTGTTCATGCTTAGATCCAAATAACTCAAATGTTTTAAGTTGAGCAAAGATGAACTTATCTCACCACCCAAGCACGATGAGCCATAAACATCTCCATTGTTTTTGAGGTCAAGCATTTCAACGTTGCCAGTTTGTTTGTTGCAGCTTATGCCTTTCCACGAGCAGCAATCATCGCCAACCCAAGAAAAAAGCTTCATTGATGGATCTATGAGGCCTTCTTTGAATTTGATGAGGGCTTTTTTCTCAAATTCAATGCATTGTGTGCTACCACTAGCATTGGTATTGAATGCATTGACTTTGAGAGAAACAAGTTTGGAAAACAAAGGAAAAAACAGAAGAACTGCCAGAAGGGAGATACTCCACTTAGTCATGCTTACTTCAATTAGCTATTGAAAGTAAGATACAAGGATCAAGGCTTGGATGGGTTGCAATTTATAATAGATTTGGTAAACACAACTTTTGTGTGTGGCATGAACTTGAGATGTTGTTAGGGCATGTTATTTATAGAACACCAAAAAAAGTAGACCAATAGTTTATCAAGCAATTATTCAGTAATTTTAGAATACTATTATAATATGTGCACATGATACTTTCGACTAAAGCAACAATATAAAAAGGGATAGATGGGGCCAACTTTGTCTCTCATATCATATTATTGTTAGTTGATACTCCGATATTATTGAATTTCAACAATTGTATGGTCCGAGATGGTATTGTGTGTAAGGGGTACAATTGTGTCATGTATTCCTTTCTTTTGCATTCATGTAAGGTGGGAATTTTCAACACAACTCGAACCATACACCAAATTAGCAAGTTAAGATTGACTTGTTTTGACACGACAAGAATATAATACAAAATTGACATGGATATTTTAATGCTATTTCTTAGTACTAAGTACTAATGTTATTTCTATTAAGTAGTTTCATGATATTTTTTAATCACTTATGTTATTCCATCTACTAGAACAAAAACTATGTAAAACATAATTTTAAGGCTAATGTAATTTTTTTGTTTTTCATTTAAGGTAATGTATTTTTTGCCACCTATTTTAGAGTCAATCTAGTAAAAAAATATATAATAATAGGGTATAGTATTTTAAATTGGAGAAATGGAATTGAGTAAAAATAAAATATTTAAAACATAATTTCATCTAGTAGAAGTTAGTTTCACAAGATTTAACTTGTGGGGAAAAAAATTAATTTTATCACACTTGGTATTTTTAATTAAGGATGAAACTTCTTTAATATATATGATATGTTAATACAATATAAGCAAGACACAATCTAAAAATGACACAACATGATTATACCAAAAAATAAATTAATTAAATTAATTTTGAGATAATTTTAACATGAACTTGAAACACATATCGTATCATCCACTATGATCAAAGGAAAGTTAATGTCATGTCTAGTAGTGTGGAAATCTTGAATGCAAATTTTTTCAATAATGCCCATAAAATGACTCGAACTTAAAATTTTAAATTTTATTCTTAAGTTTTCATTACTCAATTAATCTCTTTTGCAAGCGTTGTTACCATATGAAGACTATTGTGATCTAAAATTGAAATTATTGACGTTAGGATTGAACCCCCTTCCTACAAATGTTTTGGTCTAGTGGGTATTTCTGGAACCTATGGTGTGAGATTCTTTCTAGCTCACTTTCTACACCCATTCCACACGACCAAAAAAAAAAAGGAACGGTGGACTCGCACAAAATGCAATTGATTTCTCCACCAAGTCAAGCATGGACTCTGTCTTTTTTTCTTTTTCTTTTTTCTTTTCTCTTCTTACAGGCACATATCACGTACAGAGTAAATAGGTATAGTGAGATTTTATAAGATTTACAAGTAAAAAAAAAAAAAATTATCTGTACATTATAAATCTTGTTTATTCTTTATCTCATTATATGATTGACCTTTGTATCTAGAAATTTATTCTTTTTTTTCTTTCTTTTAATTCTTTTAGAGGTTAGCGGATTAATAAATTAACCAGAACACCTTGAATATTCGAAACGTCTTAACAAAGGTTGAAGCCCAAACCTCTCTCTAAACCAATAAAGACACAATTTTTCAGAGTCAGGATGTTAAACCAACCCATGACCTAGCCAGATCTGTAGACAATTTTCCTACTTAATATATTATCTAATGGTCTGTGTTTTGGTTCTCAAAAAAAAAAAAAAAAAAAGCTTGAACCACACTCAAATTTTGAAGTTTGACCACTCTTGTTAATACTTGGAAAAAAAATAAATAAAAACAAAGTTTTCATTCCAATCAAAAAAAGGAAGCTGGCGTTTGAGATCATTGACTTGGGCCTCAGCATGGAAGTCATGTTAATACTTGGAAAAAAATAAATAAAAACGAAGTTTTCATTCCAATCAAAAAAGGAAGCTAGCATTTGAGAACATTGACTTGGGCCTCAGCTGTGCAAGGGACACCGCAATTACTGCAGTTAAATGGATCTATTTTGGAGCTTATTTGAATGATTCGAATTGTTCATATTTTTAAATATATTGAGTAGAATATATCTTTAAAAAATTAAGTTAATCGAATCTCATTAGTACTTTCATCCACTTATATTTGTGTATACAAAAATAAATGACAATTGTAATTTAAAATATTAAAATGAATACAAATGTGAGTAGATTAAAAAGTTAATGATATCCGATTAATTTAATTTTTTACAAATATATTTTACTCAATATATTTTAAAATATAAACAATTTAAATTATCAAAAATAAACCTCCCAATGAACCTATTTAACTGCACATCAGTCACGGTGCAAACCCAAGTCCCCCAAGTCCCTGCATCAAAGCCGTATTTGGTGGATTTGAATGGTCTATTATTCTTACCGAGCCACGACAAGACAAATCAACAAATAGTATAACTGGAGATTCCAAGAACTAAATTTAAAGGGACAATTAAGTTATATATGGTTCGTCAAAAATTACTTAAGAGATTAAAATTTTCTACCCATTTCTATGGTGAGTGTGATATTTCAACATATGTTGTATGCAGGGACATAAGGATAAGCTTTGCTTTTAATGATTACTTATATCTTGATTGAGGCATAAAATCAAGACGAGTATAAGGAGATACTCACAATAAGAATCACCTATATAAGTGTTGAACTGGGGTCGGTTCTATGAGAATGAAGAGGTTAAATTCTCTAGAAACACTTATGAAAACCAGGCGCGTTCAAGGCCAAAATGAACACAACAGTGAGAACCACGATGTGTTAGAAAATATTTTGTGTGAAATCTATTATCTTGGCTTACACAAACGACTGAACAATTCAAGGCATCGCGTCCATTAGTTAGCCAGTAAGTCTGATAGGTTATCACTAGGGAAGGTTCAAGGCCGAAAGCTACTTATCCTAATGCAAGATATTTTCGACTTATACTCTTTCGATAAAGTCTGCATATTGTTGCATTCCCGTTGTCATCAAATTCCATTCATGTGGGGGATTGTTGGAAATGGTTATAAAATTCTGGATGAAACCAAAATTTTTTCCTAAGTTTGGTCTATTTTTTAGGTGGGCCCCGTGCGTCGATTTACGTGAGTCAAAGTGGTAACGCGTTCTATGCTGTGTTGTGATTCACGTGGTATATTTGGTTGCTCAAAACCATTACGGAGTGAATGGAAAATTGAAGCCAAAGTGTGCTTCATGGAAATGGAGTTTTGGTAAAAAAATCCTTAAAGATTTGAATAAGGCTTGTCCCACATTGATTTGGTGGAAAGTTTTGAATGGGTTTATAAGGCATGGGTTTGGTACTTGGGGTGTGCCCCAAGGGGTACCCAAGTGTTTTAGAGAGGGAGGTTATAGGCAAAATGGGCTAGACCCATTGGATTCAAAAATCACCACACACGCCTGCCATCTGTCCGGGCTGGGCTGGGGCCTGGGCTTGGGCTTGTCCGACCCAATACCTATCTTTTTGGGTCAAAAACATTTGAATTTTATTTTATTTTGGGTAAAATAAAATCCAGAATTCAAATTAAATCGGAAATAAACATGGCCCTTCCCGTTTTTTATCTATTTGAATTATGAACCCAACATATTCAAGTCTGTTTGAATTCAAAACCAACAGGTTCATACCTATTTAATTCAAAACCTACAATCACCATTACATCTATAAATAGGACAACCCTCATTTGATATTTTATTCATTCAGAAATTTCGTATTTCACCTCTGCAAATCCTATTCTTCATTTTGCTGCATTTTATTTTGTGAGAGAGAGTATAAACACTTAGTGTATTCGACGAACGAATAAATTGTAGTGCTGCTTTTATTCGTTGATAGATCATTTCATCCTGGGAGATAGACGTCCACATTCTGAAAGCACCGAGGAGAGGACGAATCTGTCTTAAGGACACAGTGTCAAACACTGGACTTGATCATATTATAATTCAAAGAAATTAATCAAGTAAGTTATTTAATTTATTTTCTGTGTTTTATTATTTATTTAAATCAGATTTTAATTTTGTTTTTGTAACAAAATAAAATCTGTTTTTATTTATTTATTTTTATTTTGAGTTTGATTTTTGTAATCAAACAAATTCTCTCCTTTTCTTTATTTCTTTTATATTTTGTTTGTTGTTAAGTACACAAACTGAATTAATTAATTACAGTGAAGATTGTCCAACAAATTTTAACTTCCATTCTTTTATTTTTAATTGTGACAATTAATCTTTTTATACTTTAAAGTTGTGATGTCATCTTTCTATTTATCTACTGTTAATGAAGCTAACACAAATTTGAAATGGAGATATCAAAATGAAATGTTGGTACAGGTGCAAGAATTAAAGTGAAATTTTGATGAAAATATAGAGGTACTAATACCTATGGCTCATATAATAAGTTTTGTCAACTTATTAAGGTCATAAGAAAATGCTATGGATCTCAAATAAATTATTGAATTTTTAATTTAGTAATTTGATTGGGATCTTTAGCATAATAATTGCAACTTGACTTAAAGCGTAAAAGATTAATTATTAAAAGTGATAGAGGCAAAAGAGATTTTGGTAGAAGGGTAAGAGTGATAAGTGAAATTTAATTCAACACTTTTGCTTGCATGGAAAAATAATAATAATATTTTTGTATTTTTTTTTTTCCTTATAAATTTTCAATGCCATGAAAAGCTTCATTTGGTAGAATTTTAATTACTAGTATGGCTGTTAAATGAACAAAGCTAAAAACTCATCATTAACTCATTATATAAATAAGTCAAATATAAACATAATTTTAAACTTGTTAAGTTCTATTACTTGACTTTTGGGAAGTAAGAAAAAAGCTAACAAAGCTATTTATTGGCCTTTTTTAAGAAAGTGTACAAAAAAATAGAGGTGATATAACCCTAATAAAAATAATAATAATATTTTTCTTTTTTCTTTCTTTCCTTATAAATTTTCAATGCCATGAAAAGCTTCCTTTGGTAGAATTTTAATTACTAGTATGGCCGTTAAATAAATCAAGTTAAAAACTCATCATTTGAGATTAACTTATTATGTAAATAAGTTAAATATAAATATAATTTTAAACTTGTTAAGTTCTATTACTTGACTTTTGGGAAGTAAGAAAAAAGCTAACAAAGCTATTTATTGGCATTTTTTTGATAAAACATAGAAAAAAGTAGAGGTGATATAACACCCAATAAGCCAATAAGCTAATTTGTTTTCCATGTTCCCAAAATGAAGTTATTTAAATTCAATTTGTGTACAACTTGTTAAAAATTCATTCAAAATCGATTCGTTGTATAAAAAATTCAAACTCGTTAAATTATCAAATCAAAATTAAATAACCTATTACTTGGTTCATTTTCGACCCTAATTACTAGTTTTAGAAATATTGATTATTGCTTGTACTCTGGTTTTTTACAAGTTTGCTTGGGCCGTTGAACAACAAAGTTTGTAAAATTGGGCTTCAATCAATAAATGGGCCTCAAAGTAGGCCAATGTTTGCTAATGGAGCTTCATTACTATTGGGCCTAAACTTGGACCAGACAAGGGTCCATACTCGCCCAGCCGAAGTCCACGGCACATTTCCATCTTCATCTCTCTCTCTCTCTCCTCAGTGCTCACTGATCTGAAAATGGCTGGAAGTGGGCGACGAAGTGCGAGAAGCAGAATCAAACTCAATACAGACGCCGACGAAGATCGAACCACTCTCCGCAATCCCAAACTCCGAAAGCACAGAAGCAGAGACCACAGTCTCATTCGCCTCCTAAATGTTGATCTCAAAGTTCTTCTAGGATTTGCTATCATCGCGTTCTTGATTGTCCTTTTCATGATTCATCGACTTATAATTGCCGTTGAATATCCTCAGAAACCCAGGGTCGTGACCCCATTCCCTGCCCCAAAGATCATGGATCTTCCTCAGGTGAAACTTTCATCTACAATTTGAATGAACTCATATATATATATGTATGTATGTATATGATGTTGTGTGTGTTACTGAGATTTGGATGAATCAATTGTTGTAGTTTCAAGGTGATCACAAGGAGAGCTTGTATTGGGGGACTTATCGTCCTAACGTTTATCTTGGAATTCGTGCAAGGTATTCCACTGCCTCTTGTCAAATTTTATCTGCACGTTTATAGAATCTATAAAACTGTTGCTTTCATTGTTGCTAAAAAATGTAGATTTTTTAGTTGCTTTTTTAGCCGAAAACAAATGGGCTTTAGCCGGAAAAAAAAAAAAAAAAAAAAAAAAAAAAAAGAGCTTATTTTGCTAAAGCCAAATGGGGACTTAGCTAATCATCCTAACAAGTGGTGAATTTAAGAACAAAGTTTATGATGTTTGCCTCCAGTTTAAGACTTATGTTTACTACTGCAATACAAAGAAGAGGCAGAGAGAGAGGGGAAAATAAAATTCCTTTTTTACGATTGTAAAATGATTTACAAACATAATTTTCATATAAAAATTAATTCAGAATTTTGTAGCTGGGTCGCTTTCAAAATTATGAGTCAAAATAATGGGTGTTTCAATTTGAAATAAAAGGAGCCGAGGATGACTGGTGTTTGAGCATTGTTTCTTCATCCCAAGAGGTTCCATAAATTCACTGTGAAGTTTGTTACCCCTTTCAATTTTATCCATTGTGGTAAAGATGGTTGCAATTAACAGTTATTTATCAATAAAATTAAATAAAATTAACAGTTGTAGTTGTCAGGACTCCACAGTCTCTGGTTGCTGGATTGATGTGGCTTGGTTTAAAGGATGGAAGATATTTCATGCGACATGTCTGCCAAGATTCAGATGAATTGAAGACATACGGTTGGACGCTTCACAATGGACGGGATTATGGACGTCAAATGCTAGTTGACCAAGATATGACCTTGATTACAAGTTTTTTGAAATCCAAAGAAGATGGCAGTGGCTATGGAGGGGACTGGGCAGTTCGAATTGATGTGCAAAGTGAGAAGTAAATATCTTTCCCACCGCTCTTACATTTGTCTTATCAAATACCTCTAATAAGCTTGTTTTGTTTAGTGGATATAGCCCCAAAACTGGAGATTTTCTACACGACAACCTATAAGAAAATAGCATGTGAAACCAATAATTTCCACCTCATTGACCATTTTACGGCAATTGCTCACATTTTTTCCTATGTTATGGTTTTTATTTATTTGAAATTTTACACAGTAAAGATGCTGGGAATTATGGTTTGCATTGTTAGCAGTTTAGGCATTAATTATTGGACCTTGTAAGAATGCACTCATCAGTACTATTGTTTGGGTTGTGTATTTGTATTGCCAGTACATTTACCCATTGTTATAGTAGTAGTTTCATATTGTGGGTGTTTTGTAACAGTACTTCTATATTGTCGAAAGCAAATTGGTACTGAATGAATACTTCTCATGGGTTAAATGTGTGTTTGGAAATTTATCAAATAAATGTATATTTTTGGGGGGAAATTTTAAAGGTCTATATTTAGGGATTACACATCATGTCATCAGCAAACAATTGGTTTTTGTAAATTAACTCGAATTTTAGGACTAAAGACGAAAAAAGGTCATAAAAAATGTTCAGTTCTGTTGAATTTTAATTGCAAACAATTTATTGAAAACCCCCAAAGGAATGAATGAATTAAATTTAATTAATGATAGCATTAATACAAACAATGACAGGATGAGGATTAGAATGCGTTCTTATCTTAGAAGTCTTAATTTTGAGAAAAATATTTATTTGTTAATGAATTCAGCAATAGATAAGGATGTGGCTATTCTTAAGTTCAAAACCTATGTGCTTGCCACGTGCTTCACACTTTGAAGCATAGCCTAGGAAGCTCTCTTTAGAACTGTGCCTCATGTCATGGTTTACAAATATGACTAAAGAAACTTGCTCACTTCTTGGACTATGGCAGTGAGGTTCTCTTTTTTTTCTTTTTTTTTTTTTTTCCATTTGACTTTCTATACTCTGTAAGAATTGGTAAATTACATTTATCTTCTCTTACTTAACATAATTTATAGTTTTCACGTTTTTGTTTCATATCATGAATTCTTGAATATCTTCTATTCTTAAATTGGGAGTTGCTAGAAGTTGGATGGTATTGCTGGCTTATGTTTTGTTCATTTGTTATAATGGCTTTTTTTTATCAGATCCAAGCTTAGTGAGGAGATGCAAACTGTGCACCTTTTCTTCTATCTTGCGGATGAAGATGGGAACGCTTTGAGTTTGAGTAGGGAGACCCTGAACATTCGTGAGAATTCTCTCTTGGCTTTTGGATCACGAACAGATGTTGGCAGTTGGAATCTAAATTTAGAATCAATGGTATGTTGTCAGATAGATGCACGGGAACCTTCATTGTGAAAGAGGATATAATTACTCATGCATGCCTGTGCTCCTCCATGTTTATGTATTTTGTGGCCCCAACAATATTTTTAATTCAGCTTTAATCTCAAACCAATTTCTTGCAGGATGATTTGGAAGTCCATTATTCTGGCTTCAGGACACCTCACATTCACAATTTATCAGACCTTGTCCAGCAAAATCTTGGAGCCCAAGTAAGAATTAATGTTTTTGTTGTCTGCTGTCTTTTTTGCATGCTAAACCATGTTGATTTCTGCTATTTGTAAAACATTCATTTGCTTCCATTTTACAGTGTTATAATCGTAATAGTATTTCATGTTTCAACTTTCAGCAGTGGTTCTTTCACTTATGTTGTGTGTGTGTGTTCGCACGCTTACTCACTAACACTCTTGTATGTGTTGTTAGGTGAGAAAGTTTGGTCGTTTGCAACTCTCAGACACTTCCGATGATTCTTCAAACATTTTAGTATTTCAGGTAGGCAGTCAGAGAGGTAACAGGTTACATGTGTCCACAGACTATGATTGCCTTTCTCAGGTTTCCATTTCTCTTCTATCCCATATGCTTTTCTGTTTTTTATGCAGATTTCGGGTAGGATTTATTTCAGAACAGATGTTGCTTTTGTATCTAGAACTGGCTTAAAAGATTCAAGACTTAAAGAACGTCTCAGCAGCCTTACAGGTATCTTCTGTCAAGTTCCGTGCATGTTTCCTTTATCTTGATTGTGAACATTATGTTTATAAGATTACAAGTGTCTCATTCTTTATGAAACTTCCTTATAAGTAATACTGGTATAACTTATCAGAAGCACAAGAAAACAGGCTGCTTATTGGTATTGCCAACAAGAAAGACTGCAGAATTAGATTTGAGGTAAATAGCTCTTTTCAATATGAAAAGAGGCAATCAAAAAAATTTAGCAATATGCTAGGAAGTCATGAAATCTAGAGGACTGCATATAGGATTACATGAAAAACTTCACTTACGTTTTTTAATTAACTTGGTGGACAAGTTCAATGAGGTAGGAAAAAGATCAACTTAATAGACAAAGGAGAGTAAACGGGCATGCTGATAAAAAGAGGGGGGGAAGAGACAACTTTGGGAATGATTGTTGTCTAAAAAGACCTAGAATACAAACTTCAAAGAATTGTTACAGAGATGGGATTCAGGTCAATTCATAGCGTTCATTGATTTGATTTAGTAGAGGAAATGGAAGAGTGAAGTTGTTAACGTTGTTAAAAGAAGTGAGTGGTGTAGTGCGATCATTCTCACGGGAGGGTGTGGAGATAAGATGGGTGTGCTGTGATCAAGATTTTAAGTCAATAGGCAATGTGATGATGTCAATGTCATTGACAAGAATTCAGCATAATGGTAGCATTTTCCTGACCACGTGTCCCAGTCCTCCGACCAAATTTCCCTGTTTATTTTAAATTTAAATATTTTTTGAACTTTTCGCTCTTTGGGGAATTGAAATATCTTTTGAATGTAGGATCATATTCCTTTTGCATAAACAAGTTGAAATCACCCCCCCTCTTCCCAAAATTATATTTCTTTTTTCGGTGCGCAATATTGCAATCCTTTTTGTGTGGACACATTGACTTATACCCTAATTTCTTGTAATTTTTTTGTTTACTTTCAATAGTACAAGCTCTTTATTTCAGCTTTGTGATAATTTTGCTTCATACTTTTAGGTACCTTACTGACTAGTCAACTAGATGAGAAGGAAAAAGAATTTGATGACAAATTCAAAAAATGCTTTAATTTGGCTGATGAGGTATCCATTCATATGAAATCCTTATATTTTGTGTCATCATTTTTTGAAATCAAATCACTGTATGCAGAATTTTTAGGATCATGGCATGTCTTTGATAGTTTTGTTGCAAGTAACATGTCACTTTAAGCCTAGTCACATTGGTGACTGCAGGAAAATTATACAATTCTTAAGATACAGTTTATTATTATTATTATTATTTGGATGGTCTCATTGTGTTTAAACTTAAAATTATGAATATGTTGATAGAAGTTATTCAGCCATTTCACAGGCTTAAGGAGACTTTTTCAGCTTTCTATTCAAAAAGAACAATGCTTTTCTCCCTTTTTTCTCAAGGCTTAGGGACAGCTTGACCAATTCTTAAATTTTGTGATCAAGATTTTAAGGAAAATTATACAATTCTTATGATCTCTTTTCTTGACCAACCCTTAAATTTTGTAGAGCTTTTTGATACACATGAAGATGTATAGGGTTTTTCTTTTCTTCTCCTCTTTTGTATACAGATGGCATACCCTAGATGCCTTTTTTAAATGAATCTTACTTCACTTAACAAAATAAAATGTCAAGCAGTTCAAATAATCCCAGTGGCCATTTCATTTTTTGTTTAAGTTGTATTCAATTGTACAGAATCTATATTTTGCATAAAATGAACTGTTCTGATAATATGATATGTTGTTTTCAGCTTGATTCTGAGTCCATCTCCACTGGTAAGGCTGCAGTTGCGAGTTTGTTGGGTGGAATTGGCTACTTTTATGGCCAATCAAAAATCTCTGTCCCAAGTAACTCTAATGTAAGTTTTACAGATCTGTATGTGATCATCTTAATCATATTAAATCAATTATGTCTTCATGAATTCCATTTGAAACACACTATCTCCATCTAATATGATTAACCGTGTTTTGGGGGAGAGAGAGGAAGAGAGATGGTTTGAGTTTACAAAAGTTATTAGGATATACATGGGCTGGGTTTACAGGTTAGCTGTAAAAGGTTTATTTGTTTTAGATTGATTGTCTGCATGATTTAATTAGGGTCCAAGTCATTGCTAATTAGAGCGGCCTGTAGGTTAAGTAACTTTAGGCCTAACAGACTTATGAATTTCTGCTGCAATAAAGTATTTGTAAGGCCTTTTTTGGAGAACAAAATTTCAGATATGATATTGTCTTTTGACCGTCTCTTTTTTTTTTTATTTCTAGGTCTTGTTTTATATCCCCACGGTCAAGCTTATATTGATAAAATAATAATAATAGTAATAATAATAATAATCTGATTTATAACCAAGATCAGATTTTACTAGATTTCAGCTTGATCCTAGTTTTTTTAGGATCCTTCTGAACCTTTAGCTACTGGATTCTTTTCCAGCCTACATCAAATCAATGTTTATCATGTAAATATGAAATTTGATGTAGAGCAGTTTTAAATTTGAAATTTGCAAATAATGTTATGGATTTGAATCATCTTGGGCCAGCCCCTTGATTATTCATCTCCAGTGGTTATTATACGCTTGTACTCAATTGTATACTTTATCTTAATATGATCACTGAGAATGATCATGGAAATGGGGCAAAGTTGTGGAGTATATAATGGGGTCAATATAGATGGGAAAAGATGGACTTGCACAAATCAAAGATCAAGGATTAATTGATTTTTTTATTGCAATCAAATTGGTGGTGTTTTGAGTATGCTCAAATTGAACAAAGGGGGCCTTCCAAGAAAAAATGTAAGCTCAGAAATTAATTGGATACAAAATGGGCATGCATTTGTATAACATACATACATCCACACACATGCATTTACCAAAAATTACTTTGTTTGTTAAAGAAGATGATATGGGCAAGACCTTTTGTTTTTTAGCCTTTTCCATGCTTCATGACTACTTTTGTTCACTTTATCTTTTCACAAGCTTTGAGCAGTGTAACCACATGCTCTTCTATTTGATTGGTCTGTTTAGATATATTTACTTTTACTCAAAAAAACTACAATTTCTTTTATTTGTCAACTATGTTTGGACATCTGACAAAGTCATACAGTGGGCAATTGTCTCTTGCAGTTTAAAAGTGGTGAAAATTATATTCTATATTGGCCGGCTGAACTTTATACTGCTGTTCCTAGCCGACCTTTCTTTCCAAGAGGATTTTTATGGGATGAAGGTTTTCATCAACTATTGATCTGGTTAGTTGCCTTTTACTACTTAGTTTGTGTTGTATTTATTTCTTTCATCAACTATATGGACCTAATTTCTGAAATTATCAGTCTAACCATTGTTGCTTGCTTGCTTTTATATAAATATTTTTCCTTAACATTGAGCAGGCGTTGGGATATACATATTTCCTTGGATATCATTGGACATTGGTTAGATTTGATGAATGTTGATGGATGGATTCCACGTGAACAGATTTTGGGTGATGAAGCTCGAAGGTGATTTGAAGCATTCGAGCAAGCACTGTAATGAGTTTGGGATTTCAAAAATTTTCATTGACAATTAACATATTTCTTTTTTTTTTCCTTCTTTTTTTGCAGTAAGGTCCCCGAGGAATTTATTATTCAGCATCCAACAAATGGAAATCCACCAACTCTATTTTTGGTTTTGCGTGGTTAGTTTGTATCTCTCAATAGAATTTTGCTATTTTTTTGTGTGAGAATTTTCTTTTTCATCATGGCATTTTAGGGATTCAGCATATTATTTTCTTGTTAAGGAAAATCTTACCCTTGTGAGTTGATGGTGACACTTGAGTTGGTGCAAGTGTGTATATTCACCTAGCACATATCCAATTTATCATTCAGATGATTGTTCATCACTGGAGCATTATATACTAAAACTTTTAGCTTTGAAGTTCATGTTTGTTTTCTTCACCAACCATTTATTTGTTGGAGCTATGGTCCACATGGCTCAATTTTTCTCACTATAAGAACTGAATTTTGTTTGATCATTTACTAATTTCGTATCCAGTTTCTAAGTAGTATGCCTTAATTAGCTGCAGAGCTATGGATCATTTATTCGCTTTGAGGTACAAATTACAGCAGATGATTCAAATATGAAGTTGTAGGGTTCTAGTGACAACTTGATTGTGAGGGGCAGGAAAACATGTTATATATCAGAAACTATGTTTCATCATTTGGTCACAACTGAAGAGTGTTTCAATTATTCACTGTATGTGCTGCAGCAATACTTTGTAACATAAATAAATAAGGAAGGGGGGAGAGGGCTTATGATTTGTGAGCTTGAAGAATTTTCTCTCAAGTAAAAGGGATATTTTCATTGTAATCATGTGGAAGATGATCCCTTTGACAGACATCCACATAAAACCAATAATTTACTCTGCTTACATCTTCTCTGTACCTGGTCAGCGACATCTAACCCAATTGTCATTATGCATAATTTTGAGTATTGAAGTTTTGTAATATTTCATTCTTTCTCATTTAAGTTGAGCTATAGTCAATCTGTGTGTATTCTTGGTATGTTCATATATTTGCTACAGAATAATATGATATCATGTTGTTCTTTAGCATCCTCTTGATGCTTTTTTCTAATAAAATTATTCCTTGTTTATCACAAAAAAATATATATATGTATGTATATATGATATCATGATGTAGACATTTTTTAATCAAAGCTCAAAACTTCACTTTTTTTCAGATTTAGTTTGTGGCATGAAAAGAAACAAGTTTACAGCCACCGAGAGGGATCAGATTTCTTCTGTCTTAGACCGGGCATTTGTTCGCCTTGAAGCATGGTTTCAATGGTTTAATACTACGCAATTAGGTAAATCTGGAGTTTTATTTTTATTTTTATTTTTTCTCATTGGGTGATTAATTTTTGAGAAATGTTACGGATACTATCAGTTTTATCAACACACTTGCAAGTTTATGTTTGTCCCACGCCAAGTGATGGTAGATCCCATTAAAGCTTATGATTGTGTTAGTAATAAGATTGTTAGTAGAATATCTCTAGCATTGTTGTTAATTTTTTCCATTTGGAGATATCACTGGAAAAATCTGCCACCAACCCTAGATTGGGCATTCCAATGGATATTGCCCATCTCCTCTAGACTTCTTGGTGATAGGATAAACTTTCCACATTCGACATCATATTGATCTGTCGACTAGTCGGACATTTTAAACCATGAATAGCAAAAAAGTGAGCAAAAGGACAAATGGTTATTCATGTAGCCAAGCAAAGTAAGATCCTTGCGACTCTGTTGAGTCTGACTAAATAGAGAATGCATTCACAATTTATTTTTTTCTTGCAATTTGAATATTTTTCTTTTTTGTATTATTAATAGAATTTTGTTCTTTGTTACTGATCGAAAAAATAAAAACAAAAAAAAAGACATTCACAATTCCTGCCAAATATGTTTCAACTTGGATCATTGTTTTTGAGAAAGATAAGATACATATGCTGATATGTTTCTTACTTCTGTGAGTATTTTGTTTTCTAAGTCACTGCTTTGATTAACAGGCAAGGATATGAGCAGCTATTTTTGGCATGGAAGAGACAATGCAACCATGCGCGAATTAAATCCTAAGGTTCTACTTCACATGATTAAATTAAATTTCCTGAATAATTAAATACAGTTCTGCTAAGGACACCAACTTTTCCCCTGCCCTCTCTTTGTGAGGAGGGCAGTGATAAAGGCTGTAAAAAAATGTGGTTTCTATAATCTTTTCCAATTAAATATACTCGTTATTTCCTTTTATTTATGGGCTTTTAAACAAGGAATGCTATTCAATATTGGGCATGATATGGAATATGAGTTCTCAAGCAGTATTTTTTTGTTCAAATATTGGGAGTTGTGTAGTCCTGTGCGCTAGTAGGATCTCTATTTCTTTCTCTTTTTTCCTTTTTTTGAGAAATAAATATTATTATAAAAAAAACACCGAAAGGGGCGCACCTTCTGCACATGATGTATACAACAACTAAAGCCAATCCACAAGGCTGAGCTGAATCAGATTAAAATTGATCCTAGTCAATATGCTGTAGGAACCCCTTAATCAGTGCACTTGCTCTAACCTATCAAACTTACAGGCTCACCGTATATCTACCTAAGCCATTTTTGTTCTTCTTCCAACATTCTGTTCTTTTTCACTCATCCTAACTTAAAAACCTTACAAATATTGTTTCTTCTAATCCAAGAGGAAACAAGAGTATCACAATCAACTCATTGAAGTACCTTTGAAATCTAACTAGACGAAGTACATGAATGCTGGTGATTCTGGATCTCCAATCATAGTTTATTCCATCCATTTATCCAATTGTTCCCCTTTTAGTAACATTGCCAATGTTTAAAACAGATCTATTCATCAAACACATCAATGGTTGTGTTGCCATATTAACATTGTCACTGGAATGTCCAGACACTGACCTCTGGGTTGGATGATTATCCACGTGCGTCGCACCCAACTGAAGATGAACGTCATTTGGATCTTAGATGTTGGATGTTTCTTGCAGCAGATTGCCTGCATTCAATCTCAAAGCTTCTTCAAAAGGAACATGAACTTGGGAAGGTATGACGATAGGACTAGACATCTACATCTCGGGGTTCATCTCTTGCCATATTAAACCTCTAAATGGAAATGATGCAGGAATATGATTCAACAGCTAAGCTGCTCTCGAATTTTGAAATCCTAAATCAGGTTTGTACAAGGTTCATTATGTTATCTAGCATTATTTCTTGTTCTTTTAGAGCTTCTATAATCTTTTGTAATTAGTGATGCTTTTTTTTTTTTTTTTTGGTAGTTCTATAATTAGGTAGAAAGCAAAAGAAGAGTTTATCATTATTTGGAAATCTTCTTTGCTGCAATACATTTGTATTCTATCAAAAAATTATTTCCAATTCAATATGAATTGATGTTTTAAGAAGTTAAATAAGAAGTTGGGTACTCAGATGTGCTTTAATGTTTTTGCAGATGCACTTTGATGATGCACATGGAACTTACTTGGATTTTGGAAATCACACAGAAAAGGTATGCTCCTTGTCCATTTATTATTCCTTTTAGATTATGGTACCACTATCCTATATTCAACTGAAAAAGTCTAGGATCACAGAACCGGACACAACTGATCGTTTCTGTATGTGTAGAACTTGTATTCAACTTATACACAATAACTACAATTCATGAAATTATTATATGCAACTGAACCAGAATATAAAATGCTAAGAACTGTCTACATTGCCATATTCTAAAAAAATGATTAATCCTTCCAGGTTCGTTTGAGTTGGCGAGAAGTAATGGGAAATAACCATTATGCAAGTCGAGAGCTAGTTCGGGAAGTTTTAGAACAGCCAAGATTGAGGTTTGTTCCTCATATTGGCTATGTCAGCCTTTTCCCATTTGTGGCGGGGATTATTCCACCTGTAAGTTGCATGAAGGATCTCATCACGAAGCAATGTTTTCTCAGTCTATTTGTGCTTCTGTTCAGTGTTTCTTACCATTACACTGTCGTAGTATGAAGCTCTAATTCAAAAAAAAAAAAAAAAAAATCCCCTTTCCTTCCTTTGGGCTGTGTTTGGATCTTAGATTTAGGTGGAGATTTGTTGTAGGGAAACAAAATGAGAAGAGAAATGTGAACGGAATACAAGCTGATGTTATTTCACATTTCCATTCCCTTTTCTTTACCCTCAGCAAATCACTGACCAAATCCATGATCCAAATACAGGCTTAAAGTTATTTTTAATTGGTGATTATATATCATTCGCATTTACAAATGCACGTACAGGACTCAACGATCCTAGAACAACAACTGAATCTCATTTCAAACCGGAGCATTTTATGGACTGATTATGGACTCCGCTCTCTTTCCAAAACAAGGTGATGGAAGTTTCTCAAGTAGTGTATCATTTATGAGCTCCTTTATCCATATATCTATTCTATTATATAAAACACACAATCAACTTGGTGTGAGGGCCTATGCCACATTTTCTCATGCCCAAATTCCACCTATGTAACTGCCAAGTTTCTTATTTCAATTTTTTTTCTCCTCCATCTACATTTAAATTTCTTTTTTCATAAGACGGTGACAACTGTCTTCTATTTCTGCACACGAATCACTTGTGTGCTCAACTTCTAGTATATGCTATTATTTGCATGATATCATGTTTATTCTAGAACTACTAAAGAAATTAATTTGTGAAACTCCTCTTTTATGCCAAAGCTCAATGTACATGAAATACAACACGGAGCATGATGCACCCTATTGGAGAGGCCCAATTTGGATGAACATCAACTACATGATTCTTTCCTCACTTCACCGTTACTCTAAAGGTACACAAACACAAACATAGATTTATCTATTGTAAATTAAAAATAAAAATAAAAAAGCTCTGATTTTCAATAAAATCTGAACGCGTAGCATTGACACGTGCAGAAAATGGACCGTATAGAGACAAAGCCAAGATCATCTATAATGACTTGAGGAGCAATTTGATTAGGTAAGTGGTATGACATTTTTAGTTCTTAATTAAGGCCTCTGATCTAAACTCTTTAGTCAATTTTGATGAGTATTGTTCATTTCTGTTATGGCAGAAACGTTGTGAAGAATTACCAGCAGACAGGGTATTTCTGGGAACAGTTTGATCAAAAGAAAGGTAAGGGGAAAGGTGCACGCGTATTTACTGGCTGGACATCGCTCGTGTTGCTGATCATGGCAGAAGCTTATAGTGAATGGTAGGAACTTGGGACTCAATTTTGTAATTTTCTAAGAAAATTATAAAGTCATTAGAGGATAAAGAAGACCACAAACAAATCAACCTGTTAGTTCTGTATAATCTCTCCAATTCAAGATATGAACTATACTTATTGTCGCAAGTTAATTTGAAAGGTAAGGTTTGAAGTTATTGGTTGTGATATGTGGATGATGTTATTGAGAGTTTGTAATATCCCCCTCTCTTGGGTTGGTTTTACATTGATCATAGATGAAACCAACTGATATGCTGACCAGAATGGACCCCGTTAAAAATTGTTGTTTAAGAATGACCCCAAAATCAAGCCAATATTTATGGCATTTATTTTTGCTTCTGAAACAATTTTCTTTTTGGATTTAACCATTTCTTGTTAGGCTCTACTGTTTCAAGGGAAAATGTTTTTAAATTTTTTTGTAAAAAATGTTTTCTTATGTTTAGTTACAATCTTGAAACTAATACGTTAGTGGTGGTGTTAGTGATGATGGTGAGGTGGTCACAAGATGGTGGGGTGGTGGAAATAATGCATTTATGGCAATGGTGGCGGTAGCGGCAAGGTGGTGGGGTGGACAAATAGGTGGTGATGGTGATCATGGGATGGTAATAGTGTGACTTAAAATTTGTCTAGAAAACATTTTTCACCATTCAAAAAGTTAAATATTTTTTACTCAAATAAGCTTAATTTTTCATTTTGTCATTCCAAACAACTACAAATGCGAAAAGAATGATTTCCAAAAACAATTTTCACCAAAACAAGGCCCTAGTATTAACAGGAAGTTTGGAGAGCTGAACCTCACGCTTGGATTTTGAGGATCGATTATGGATGGTCTCAGATGAAAATCAGATGCAATCAAGATTAGTCCAATCTTTCTAACAGATGTATCATTTGTAATGAATTTATCCATGTCCAGCAGGATTTTACATGACCCCTCCCTCAATAATTAAAATGCAAACTAATGATTTCTAATCAATTGCAATTTGTGTAACACTTTTTTTAAAATACTTCACTAGCAAGTCAAATGCAAGGATGTAAGTGGTATGACATTTTTAGTTCTTAATTAATGCCTTTGATCTAAACTCTTCAGTCAATTCTGATGAGTATTGTTCATTTCTATTATGGCAAAAACGTTGTGAAGAATTACCAGCAGATAGGGTATTTCTGGGAACAGTTTGATCAAAAGAAAAGTAAGGGGAAAGGTGCACGCGTATTTCCTGGCTGGACATCGCTCGTGTTGCTGATCATGGTAGAAGCTTATAGTGAATGCTCGGAACTTGGGACTCAATTTTGTAATTTTCTAAGAAAATTATAAAGTCATTAGAGGATAAAGAAGACCACAAACAAATCAACTTGTTAGTTCTGTATAATCTCTCCAATTCAAGATATGCACTATACTTATTGTCGCAAGTTAATTTGAAAGGTAAGGTTTGAAGTTATTGGTTGTGATATGTGGATGATGTTATTGAGAGTTTGTAATATCCTCCTCTCTCAGGCTGGTTTTACATTGATCATGGATGAAACCAACTGATATGCTGACCAGAATGGACCCCGTTAAAAATTGTTGTTTAAGAATGACCCCAAAATCAAGCCAATATTTATGGCATTTATTTTTGCTTCTGAAACAATTTTCTTTTTGGATTTAACCATTTCTTGTTAGGCTCTACTGTTTCAAGGGAAAACGTTTTTAAATTTTTTTGTAAAAAATGTTTTCTTATGTTTAGTTACAATCTTGAAACTAATACGTTAGTTGTGGTGTTAGTGATGATGGTGAGGTGGTCACAAGATGGTGGGGTGGTGGAAATAATGCATTTATGGCAATGGTGGCGGTAGCAGCAAGGTGGTGGGGTGGACAAATAGGTGGTGATAGTGATCATGGGATGGTAATAGTGTGACTTAAAATTTGTCTAGAAAACATTTTTCACCATTCAAAAAGTTAAATATTTTTTACTCAAATAAAGCTTAATTTTTCACTTTGTCATTCCAAACAACTACAAATGCGAAAAGAATGATTTCCAAAAACAATCTTCACCAAAACAAGGCTCTAGTATTAACAGGAAGTTTGGAGAGCTGAACCTCACGCTTGGATTTTGAGGATCGATTATGGATGGTCTCAGATGAAAATCAGATGCAATCAAGATTAGTCCAATCTTTCTAACAGATGCATCATTTGTAATGAATTTATCCATGTCCAGCAGGATTATACATGACCCCTCCCTCAATAATTAAAATGCAAACTAATGATCTCTAATCAATTGCAATTTGTTTAACACTTTTTTTAAAATACTTCACTAGCAAGTCAAATGCAAGGTGTCTTAACGCCAAAGTCATCATTAGAAAATTGCAAAAACTGTTTCCATCATTCAAGATATTAGTCTTTAACTCCCATTTTCTGTCATCTCCTTGTCCTCAGCCATTATGATCTCCGTGTCCCTGATATCTCGATTCAACACATTACCTAGCCTCGCAATGGCTTCTGTCTACTGTTGTAAAACCTGCATCAGAAAATACTATCATTTATCAGAGCATCACACATTTAATGAACACAGATTACAACCATGCGTTTCATTCTGGACATATCCACACTTATTAACTAACATTGCAGAAGGAAGAACGAAAAACTCATAATGGCCATATCTACCTCTTCCAACCTCAAGAATAGTATTTCAAATATTGGCACTCACCTCCTGCATATCAGCAAGACGCTGATCATGTATTTTGGTTGATCCCGGAAGATAAATGGAACCACCACCACCACCACCACCACCATTTGCCTGAACACAAGCCACAGTAAGCAGATTTTGGACCCTCCTAGAAAGGTCTGCTCCAAATCCTTTCAACTGTATAGGTAATGCTAATCAGTATGATGCTTTTTCACAGGCCAACAAAAATAGGATGTATGAAACAAAAAAGGCGAGGAACACCAACCTGCCTAGTTATTGCAGTCAACTTCTCAGCCAATTCAGCTTCACCTTTAATTAAAGGCACTCTGCAACCTTTACCCTCCAATGCCTCTACTATTCTCATGGCCTTTTGACACCCCCACATACAAACAAACATATAAGAAAAACAAGTACACTGTGCTACATGCATTGATTTTTCACATGAATAATCAAGAACGCAAAACAGACAAAGGTATGCGTCGCTTGGCGGATCTGGTAGAAATCAAGCATAGCTAGAGACTTGAACCCTTACACCTTGCTAAGAGCTTTAGGGTTGAAGTCTTGCCACTGGCAAGATTGCCCCCTCGAAAAAGTTATGGTCTCCAATGTACCGAAAAGAGAGAGAGAGAGAGAGAGAGAGATTACGCAAATTAGACAAAATTGTTCAAGCAGACTGCCAAAATGATTCACAACCATGTTACTTAACCACTTGGAGTACAGAAGACAACGATAATTGACCCAGCCATGCAAACACGTCTTTACTACTTGTGCAACAAATTTTCGAACATTCATCTCCGTTCTCAAAGTAAAATAAATAATAAAGCCAAAAGAGGTCCTTCCCTTAAGAGGTGCCTTTGAAGACCTTGCTCTTTCTGTCTCACTCTTTCTATCCAGGGAAGAGTATCAGCTTGAAAGTGCCTTTGAAGCTGCAATCACGTGTATGAAATTGAATATTATAAATCCATGATATGCACCCAAAATGCGGGCAAACTGAGGGTGCGCACACAGAAAAAGAGAGAGTACCAGTTTCACATTGCTTTAAGTCATTCGCAATCTCTCAGCATCAGAGAGTATAACTTCATCTTGAAGCTGTATTAACCAAAACACTATAATGTAAAACAATTGAAGTACAACAAATCGGTAAAAACAATACAATAGCCAAAGGAGCATCCATTTAATGTTGAATGCATTAAATAGATAAGCATCCCCAAAACTAAAACTACATCATGATAAAAACACATATCCTTATGAATATCACATCCTCACATCATCTATATCATTATTCAACTTTAAAGAAGAAACAGAATCCTGTAGTAGAACGATGATCAATAGGGTCCCCTGCCTAATCAGCATCAGAAAATGCACGTAATTGTAGGAAATAGTGAGCGGAGTAGTGAAGACCATGAAACATAGTGCCTTTGAGATATCGTAAAATGCGAACTAGAGCATCATAGTGTGGAGAGCGAGGAGCTACCATGAACTGACTAACAATATGAACAACATAAGCAATGTCTGGACAAGTAATCGTGAGATAGATAACACTACCAACTAGTTGACGATATAAAGTAGCATTAGACAACAGGTGACCATCAAGAGGTGTGAGATGAGTCTGAAGATCCACGGGAGTAGAGGTAGTCTTGAAATCGGTAAGACCAGCACGAGCCAAGAGATCAGAAGTATACTTGGCTTGGGAGAGAAAGTAACCAGACGGATCATGAGAGATTTCCAAGCCGAGAAAATAGCTGAGAAGACCCAAATCCTTCATCTCAAACTGGCGACTGAGAAACTGTTTAAGACTAGAGATACCCACTGTGTCATCGCCAGTGATGATCATATCATCCACATAGAGAAGAAGAAGAATAGTACCACGCTTTGTCTTACGACTAAAAAAGGTAGAATCATAGGCACTGGAGGAGAATCCAAAATCATGAATGGTGGAGCTAAACTTGGCGAACCAGGCACGAGGAGCTTGTTTCAAGCCATATAAAGCAGTGCGAAGTTTACAGACTTTGGAGGGTGAAACAGAGGAACCAAGTGGAGGTTGCATATAAACTTCCTTCCTCCTTCGAAGCAAAGTGTTTGGACAGTGATGGTCGGTCCGTGGAGGCCACCATAGGTCCCATTTTAATAATCTGAACCGTTCAATATATACAACTCGTCTAGTATTATATGCCTGTAAAAAATCACGTTGATCGGATATCGATAGCTATGTGATTGGATTAGTTTTTTTTTTCAACAGTTAACTATTACACCATCCGTTTTGTTTATACAAAACTAATTTGATCATATAGTTAACGACATCCGATCAACGTGATTTTTTACAGACATATAGTCCTCAACGAGTTCTAACGTTTCGGATTATTAAAACAGAACCCTTAGTGGGCCCCCAAGGACCTAACATTACCATCAAACTTTGTGGCTTTACATATGTAAATTTTTTTTTTTGCCCAAAAAGTGTAGGACCTGCCTTCCTGCTGGGGCAGTACGGCTGACAGTATAATTTAAACTTT